GCCCTACAGCCGTCTAAAAAGGCTTTAATGAAAAGTCTTTAGCTCTTCTATCAAAACAAGTATAAAGAAAATTTTTTGTTCGCTATAAAACTCAAAATGGCGGCAAAAACACGTGACCTGCGTATTTTTTTCAATCAAACTACTAAGAAACTAACGGTATAAGCCCTGCAGGGGTCTAAAAAGGCTCAAATGTAAAGTCTTAAGCTCTTCTATCAAAAGATGTATTGAGAAAATTTTCTGTCTGTTATACAATCCAAAATGGCGGCAGAAAGACGTGACCGACAGCTTTTTTACAATAAAGCTACTATAAGTCTTACAGTATAAACCCTACAGGGGTCTTCGGAGGCTTGAATGAAAGGTCTTGAGCATATATATCAAACATCGTATAGAAATTTTTTTTTGTCTTATATTAAATCTAAAATGACGCCATAACACGTGACCAAGTCGCCTGTGCCCAAGTCAATGCTTCATTTTTACTCTCCACTATCAAATTTGAAAACAGCGTATTCACTACACCTAATGATAAATGCAATTTAGGCGACGGTAAGGTATCTAAGACTTTCTTATTACACATCATTGTAAATAAAGGTCGGCTTATGCAACTTTTCAAATGCTTGGCATTTTTAAGAACTTTCCCGTCAGAAGACCAGTGCGTGAAGTTACGAGAACAATTATCCGTATTTCTTGAAGCACCACATTTTTTCAAATCTGTATGAAAAGCCTCACACCATGTACAAGGATACGAACTACTATGACCCATCAATCCGGTGATGATGTTGGCAAGCTTTAAATCAGTAGCTACAGATCCATTTTCAAGAAAATTATTAATATTCAGAGCTTTCCAGATGAGCGAAACATTATTATAATTTTCTTCAGTTGAAAGGGCTAAACAAATTATAAAAATTTTCTTTACTCCAGTTTCTTTATATTTCTAATAATATTTTCTTTTTGGACAGAAAGAGTAACTTTAAAAAAAAAACCACTGCCGCCATCCAATCCAAACTTACAATAAGCATCTTCGGTTTGATGACTCTCTGTAATATATCGTAAAAATTCTGGTAAATTTTTGCATATTACTACCCATTCAGTATACGTTTGAACAGTACTTTTACTTTTTTTTTTCAAATTTAAAACTTCGAGTTTCAAAAAATTTGTCAAGAGCATGACTTGCTTCTGACAATTTTTCTATGAAATTAGGTTCGAATAACTTACGATCTTTTTTTTCTATCCGAAGAGCTATTATTATTCCTTACGATTGTCAGTTACTCAATCCGAGATTTTTGTTTATTTTACGTATTATCTCTACAGGTTTTTGGATCTCACTTATGTCATGTTTGTTTCGTACATTGACACTCAACGGCTTTCCATAAACTTCTGATCATAAAATGTCATCTCCTTTCACTCGATTCGGAATATTTTTTTTTTTGCCTTCGTTCTTCAATTTATTTTTCAATAATCTTACATTAATATGATTTGTTTCTTTATCAGAGAAATTATTTAAATTTTGTTTCATCGTATTCATTGTAATTTTAAAATTACACTCATGACTGATGCCTTGTGCTAATAAACCAAGACATTTTTTGCACTTTTTCTTAAATGTTACATTTATTCTTGTCTTTGTTTTCATCGTATTTACTTTCAATTTTTCTTGCACATGATTTTTTTTGTTTATTGCATTTATGAGTAGATTAGATTTTTCTATGTCCCTAACTTATAAACATAAATAACATTTACACCTGTTAATACTGGCAGCTGATCGCGTTCTTTCTTTGACTCATGTTAACTTGCTAAAGTCGGGGGATAGAAAAGCGACTTTATTAATTAGCGATTTATCAAAATAAAGATTACAAGCCATGCATATCAGATTAGGAAATCCAACGTCAGAAAAATCATGATGCACCAACACTTTTTCCACTTTCAATAGTACATTACCATCTATGGGCAACATTCGCTTACTTTTACTTAAGCACAATATACATATTTTATATCGATTTTCATCGTGATTTCCAAATACTTTATAATTGGGAAATAACATAAATGCAAACAGATCCAAATGGATATAAAAATTAATAAAGCTCTGTTTACTTGCACGTCTTAAGATAAGTGGCGTACCTCAAAAATCTTCAAAGTTTGTAAAAATGGCNAATGTTGTGCTTTTGAATAATAATATAATCATCAGAGTCCAAAATATTTTTTTGCAAAATGAAAACCTATGTGTCAGTGGTAACGAGATTACAGTGGTGGATAGTGCTTCCCAGTATCCTGTAAATTCTAAAGCTTTAAATATGTTTGAAGTAAAAGAAACAGTGAATTCTAAGAATGTGGAATTCCTATTATCTGAAGTAAAATATAAAATGATTTTTTTAAACATTATCGAAATTGAATCAGATACCGGGCAACAATTTATTGTACCACTATTACACATGCATCGATAGCTGTAAGATCTGAATACATAGTCCGTATATTTATATTTTATTGATGAGTGTAAACAACAACATAATTGTGAGTCATTCCAGTGCGTTGCAATTAAGTGCCAGTTTAATCTATTATAGTTTTACCTGTACGAAGAGATGAAGAAGTAATCTCATGATTATTTTGTCTACTTGTTTATTACTATTTTAAACTTTTGTTATATCTTTTTAGTAGTATTAAAAGAATTTAGCTGATTTATTCTCATAACCTCACTTTTGAAATATTTACTTATGATAATAATCAGATTTTGGTGGTAACTGAAAATAAATAAAAAATACACATCTCCATTTTACACAATCTTTATCTTTAAAATAATTACATTCATTTCAGATGGAGTGTATAACTCTGACAGCGAGCGAATTCGTCGTTGTGAAATTAATTGAGACATAGCTCTTTGGAGATGATGTACATATTTTATTTTATTTTGTTAAGGAGCACCGTGATAGGTGTATGTAAAGTATTAAAGTATTATATGTTACTTGTTCATTTACATAATGTAGTCTACAAGAAGGACAAGTACAACTCCTAGAAGGAGTCGAAGTCTAAGTTATTCTGACAGATGTTACAACCCGTACAAACGTGAAGGTCATAAAAGGAAGAGTCTACGACATTTATCTGCAACATTCAGAGAATCGTTTCCTGAAATTCCTATAAGCGCTATAATCTGTAGTGATTGTAGGCAAAAATTACATCGTAATTCGTTGCATTCCACATCTGATACAATAAATAAAGATGATAGTCTGAGCAATACATCTGTTCTTTGTTCTGACTCATCATTAAAAGAATCTTTCAAACCTTCTGAAAGGGAGATTGAGTTAGAACTCATGTTGCAAAATTTAAAAGGTAAATTTTCTTCGTCACCAATACATGATCCCCTTCGATTGCGTATTTTAACTATTTTACCCGATACGTGGAGTATCAATAAAATATCCTAAGAATTCAATTGTAGTTGGAATTTTTCGAAAAAATCTCAAGATTTAAAATCTTCTGGCAATGTCTTAGCAGAAACGATCGCTAAACAAGGTCGAGTATTAGCCGAGGACGTGATGCAAAAAGTTGTTGATTTCTACCAAGAAAATAGCCGAATTATGGCTGGAGTTAAGGATGTTAAATCTGTTAAAACATATAGTGGTCGAATCTTAATGCAAAAGCGCTTTCTCTGTTTCGGAATACATAATGTATTTCAGAACACGCATTAACTACATTGTGACACTACCCTCTTCAAATACTGCTCGCTATTTTCCTATAGAGATATAAGAATAGAGTGCGCTACACCCGCATGACCCTGTACTAAGCAGTGTCCCACGGTGCGAGAGATACTGCTGCATACTAACCGTAGGGACCCTGTGGTTATTATGCAGCGTTCTCTCTCGCACCAATGAAAACATCACTGGACAGGGTTATGTGGGTTTAGCGCACTCTATTATGATATCTCTATGTATTTCCCTCCAATCCGACTTTCTTTGTAGCCCTTGTGGCGAGTGTATGTTATTGTTTTGGACTGAATGTGAATGTCTCTCGTCGACTCTGACTTTCTCAGTCTGTTGTGTTGGGTTGAGTTCTTTCTCGTTTGTCTATTCTTTTTGGGCCACTGTTATTTTCTCTGGAGTATCTGAATCATTCGACTCTTTACTATGAAAGCTGTACTTTGGTGACCGAGGTATGTGAGTTATTGCATCGCCTTTTCATGTTAGCAAGACGACCTCTCCTAATGGCGTGCTTGTTGCTTATACTTCGGTGTTTATGAAGTTCCTATCTAGAGAGCATTCTGCTATTTTATCCGTCTCATTTTTTATTTTAGTTTCTCTTTATCTTGTGTTGCTTACATCCATGTTGGGGGAGAGTTTTTTCAACCTTTTGCGCTTTAGGAATAGTTTTCTGCGCCCATGTACGATATTAGGTTCCCTGTCAGCGTCTGTGCCGATATAGTTCGCCGACGAAGAGTCTAGGTCGGATTCCAGTGAACTGGCTTGTTCCACTTTTATTTTTTCGTTGTTTCCTTCGCCATTCCGTACTCTTTTTTCCCGAACTGCAAACATATTTGCTGGTGGCATGCTCTCGCGATAGATTCCGTCTTCCTCTTATCTTTTACTAGTAGATAATGGTCCTTTTTCAGCGATTCTAGATTAATTTAACCCTCTTTGATTACTGAGTTGCTGGACAAGGTATCTACGTAATTAAATTTTCGCTGTCTATATATGACGTCAAATTGATATCCTAATAGTTGTACTTTTAGCAGGGTAAATCTTAAATCAACTTTCTTGGTGATGTGGAAGAGCTTCAGCGATTCGTGATCTGTTATCACCGTGACTTGACGCCCGTAAAAATGAGGGCAAGGGACACAAGATATATCTTGTATTCAATTTTCAAGTCCTAATATTTAAAGAAACGCAAGTTATAGATTAAAAAAAAAAAAAAAAAAAACGGTCGTACGTAGCATTTTTTTCCACATTGCGAAAAAATGGCTGGACCGATTTTATCCCACCAGAACTCATTTTCTTCGTCTTGAAATTGCGCATATTTTTTACCCATACAACTTTTTTGTCCGACTCTCCAGTTTTTTTGTAGACGCAAAAAACCATTTTTGGACACTATTACCATTTTTTTTGGGCCGTTAGTTGACACACTTTGGAGTCTAAAACTATATAGATTTGTTCTGAAATCGCTTAACTACTACCCAGATTTTTTTCGTATTAGAAGCAATTTTTTTAAAATAACCATGCTTTTTTGCTAATTCTATCCTACTATTTAAGATTTTTGTAAAGGAATCAGCGAAATTGTATGATGAAAATATAAATTCAAGTAATCCACATGCTTTACTGCATGTAGCTAATGATATTATCAAGAAACAGTGCACAGTAAACGACATTAGTGCCATTGCGTTTGAGAGCTTTTTGGAAAAGCTTAGGAAGTGTTTGAGAAGTGGATATAAACCACTCTAACAACTTTGTAATATATTTAATGAATTAAATCAACCTATATCATCAGAAAAAATTCCAGGAGAAGTGAAAGTTTTGAGTTAAGTTGTGTTCAAAAATAAAACGGGTGTTCTACAAGTATTGTGAATTAACTTGTAGCAATTTCAATAATGTTGTGCTCTTAAATAATAGTATAATTATCAGAATCCGAAATATTTTTTTACAACATGAAACCTATGTGTCAGTGGTAACGAGATTACAGTGGTGGATAGCGCTTTCCAGCATCCTGTAAATTTTAAAGCTTTAAATATGTTTGAAGTAAAAGAAACAGTGAATTCTAAGAATGTGGAATTCCTATTATCTGAAGTAAAATATAAAATGATTTTTTTAAACATTATCGAAATTGAATCAGATACCGGGCAACAATTTATTGTACCACTATTACACATGCATCGATAGCTGTAAGATCTGAATACATAGTCCGTATATTTATATTTTATTGATGAGTGTAAACAACAACATAATTGTGAGTCATTCCAGTGCGTTGCAATTAAGTGCCAGTTTAATCTATTATAGTTTTACCTGTACGAAGAGATGAAGAAGTAATCTCATGATTATTTTGTCTACTTGTTTATTACTATTTTAAACTTTTGTTATATCTTTTTAGTAGTATTAAAAGAATTTAGCTGATTTATTCTCATAACCTCACTTTTGAAATATTTACTTATGATAATAATCAGATTTTGGTGGTAACTGAAAATAAATAAAAAATACACATCTCCATTTTACACAATCTTTATCTTTAAAATAATTACATTCATTTCAGATGGAGTGTATAACTCTGACAGCGAGCGAATTCGTCGTTGTGAAATTAATTGAGACATAGCTCTTTGGAGATGATGTACATGTTGTTGTTCCCGTGGTGTACTTGAACAACCTCCAGGCATCTGGAGTATTTTATGCCAAATATTTAGCTCCTCCATACACTGACGATAAGGGAATAATAAAAGAATTTGTTTTAAAAAAAATTACCAGTCTCACCAGAATGGAAATCCTATAAATGTAGTATTATTAAAAAATGTGGTAAGTTTTCCCATTTTAGAAAAATCCGAATTAAGAAATAAGCTGAAACGGTTTCCAATTGTTATAAATCAGATTCGTAGGAAGATGGTGAGGCTTAGATAGCTGGAAGACACATGCGTGTTCAAGCAGCTTCGAAGACTTCAAAAGATTTACAAGTCCCCCAGCTGGAATGCTGGATGAAAGCTTAGAACCATCAGTACCAACTCAGAGTGATATTTCACAACTCTATAATAACACGTTCATAACAACTTTAAAAGCGATACTAAAACGTCGGTATGTAACGATCTTGACTTATGTATTATTTGGAGATGATGTACATGTTGTTATTATGTTCCACTTTTCAATGAATGCTGTTAAAAAACGCGACATTTCCAAGTTCTTTCACCTGATAATGCGATGTAAATTATTCTTGCTTATCACATCAAGTTTTTTTATGATTTATGGAATAAGACCAGTGATGTTTCATGACTTACATTCTAACATAGCTTCGTTATATTTGTCAGATTTTGAAACGGAAAGCATCAAGAGAGATAAGCAACCAACTGGAGAGTGATAATTTACAAAAATTTTATGGGTATGTGTATGAGTAGCTTGGAAACCATTGATTTAATCAATATCTTTGTTACGGTCAAGCCAAAGTACTTGCTGAAAGCGGGGATCTTTTAATTTAAATAGTTCGGGAATCACCGAGGATCAATATAACTTTGATTATTCTTAGTCATTTAGAAATAGCATTTATTTTACTTGCGTATGTATTAGTGTGAACAAACTAGATGAAAACTACCCCAATTTTTCAAAAATCCAGACTGGGCCAAAAAAATTTTTCTTGTATAGTTCTTGAGCCTCATAACAAACGTAACCACTGTCGGACAAAAAAAATGTCAGCAACAGGTCCAAAAAAAAGTGGTAAATATGGCCAAATCAGGTTTTTTGCTTCTATCGGACTGGCATTCTAATTAATGTATAGACTTCAAATTTTAACAGAAAATGGGTTTTGTGATTTTTAACAAACCTGCAAAATTTCAAGACAATTGGATGCAAACTTTTTGCAAACCGTCAAATAAACTAAAAAAAGTTCTTCCGAAAAATGGCTCTAAAAAAGTTGTGAGACTACATAAAGCCATTTTTCAAAATGTTTTCTCCTAATCAGATGTTAATCTAATACTGGTTAAATTTTTGTATCTCTAACTTTTTCGTAAGTATCCTAAAAATATATCGAAAAACAGTGTTTTTTCGCAAACTACTAGCGTGTAACAATGCTTTCATCACACTACTTCGAGACCACGTCAATAAGTGTTTTAATGATGTAGAACGACAGATATCTGGTGTTTATTTGAAAATCGAAAATTAAATTAATGCATTTCAAGGAACACAAAAAATTATAAATGCAGCTATAATGACTTTAAAAAAAATTGAAGGAAACCCATTCTGTGGAATTTCTTTTCACAAGTAAAGAAAATTTTCTGCAATTTAATCAAAGGCTTCAAACAGATGTAAATCTGAGTAAAGATTTTGTAAGACATCAGAAACTTCAGAATGGTGCAGATGGCTACAGAGACTGGAAGGAGTTTTCTCAACAATATTGGAGCGGAAAATCCTTACGAAAAATCATACAACACTCTGAAAGAAATGTTAAAGGAGTTATACACCCCAGCAGTGCTCGAGATCGCAGAAAATTTCAAATTTACTAGCAGAAGGCAGTTACCAGGAGAAGATACACAAAGTTACGCAAATACTCTTACAAAGATGAGTCTTACATGCAATTTCGGAAGCTTTTAAGAAGCCGCTTTACGAAACCAGTTTGTTTACGGTATTTCAAATCGCAGGATTCAAGGCCAACTTTTAGTAACAAAAGAGGTAACCTTCACAAAGGCTTTACAAATAGAATTAGCAATGGAACTTTCCGAGAAGGAAACAAATATGTTACATCAAAATACGGTATAAGTTAACTACATTAACACAAGTACACATAACTACAAGCAACGTACATCACAACTCAAGTCGAGTCAAAGTTATGACTCAAAGGGCAAGCAAGTTTACACTCGCAACAACACTACAAGTCATGATTCAAATTCATAGAATTTCAAATATTATCGGTGCTGCTTTGATCATAAAGCCAACACGTGTAAGTTACCAGTGACTATCAAGTGTGATGTCTGTAGTAAACAAGGACATTTAGCAAAGGTATGCTTCAAGAAAAGAAATTCGCTACATGCAATGGAAGAAGAAGAGATAGCAGTAGATACGGATCGCATCGAAGTACTCTCGGCGTCGAAACAGAAGACGGACGAGAAAAATTTTTTAGAACACTCTCGGTCAACGGAAAACAAGTCAACTTCGAAGTCGACAAGGGAGCAGTCGTTCTGCTCATAGGAAGAGAGCAGGAAAAACAACTTTTTTCAGGAACACCAGTGTTACGAACAGATCTACAGCTGATTACGTATACTGTAAGCGAAAAATAAATGTTATAGGGTACATCACAGTAGATTTTAAGTTCGAAAATTTTCATAGAACAGGAAAATTATATATTACGAATATCGAGCGATTGCCACTGAAGGGGCGTGAATGGATTAAAAAAATTATTAGAGAAAACGGATGAAACGCCTTATTCCATTCAATTTTACAAGTAGATATTTTAAAAGCGTAAAAGAATACGTTAATCGAGAAATTATTAAATAAATACAAAAACATTACGAACGAGAATATAAGCGCAGTACACGATATTCAAGCGTCATTGATACTAAAAGAAGACGTTGAACTTGTTTTTCTTAAGCCCAGGGCCTTACCGTTTAAATTAATATCTTTAGTAGATAAAAAATTAGACTTACTCATTAAAGAAGGAGTCTTAGAGAAAGTTGACACTTCAGATTTTGCAACTCCTATTGTACCTGTGCTTAAGAAAAATAACCAACTAAGAATTTGTAAAGATTATAGCGTTACAATAAAAAATCCACAATTAAAAATAAATAAATACTCGATGCCTGCAGTAGAAGAACTTTTCAGAAATGGTAGGTTGTACTGCGTTTGCAAAATTAGACTTTAAATTAGCTTATTTACAATTAGAAGTCGATGATAAGAGCCGATTAATACACAGCGGGGACTATTTAAATGTAATCGGCTAATGTACCATGTAGCCTCAGCACCAGCAATTTGACAAGAGAAAATGGAATACATACTTCACGGTATTATAGGCGTTAAAGTTTTTCTAGACGATTTTCGAATAGCAGCTAAAGATTTTACAGACCTCATGTTAAGGTTAGAAGAAGTTTTTAAAGTACTGGATGAATACAATACAAATAAATCGAGAAAAATGCGAATTTTTCGCTTCAAGAATTTACTACTGTGGTTACGTAATAGATAAAAACGAATTACACAAAGATACACAAAAATTAGAAGCGCATAGATAAAATGAAAAGACCAACAAATATTTCAGAATTACAAGCTTTTGTTGAATTTGTTAATTATTATGGTAGATTTATAAAGAATGTAAGTTTAATTTTAGAACCTTTGTATAAACTGTTGTTATGTGCACAAAATAAATTTGCGTGGTCAAACCGCCAGGAAAAGGCATTTCTCGAAGC